CCATTATACGGACTATTTTTCTAAACGCTTTCAGATATTGGGCTGAATTTTGGTATGTAAGTTAACCATGATGAGTTACAGATCAAGTTTAAGTTTCGTTCCGCTCTGCTAATGTTTGCCGAAATTACGGGCTTTGGACTTTGATAAATTGTTGAAAATCACAGTTATACAGACTTTTTTTCTAAACGCCTTCAGATATTGGGCTGATTTTTGGTATGTGAGTTAACCATAATGAGTAACAGATCAAGTTTAAGTTTCGTTCCGCTCTGCTAATTTTTGCCGAAATTACGGGCTTTGGACTTTGATAAATTGTTGAAAATCACAGTTATACGGATATTTTTTTTCTATACGCATTCAGATATTGGGCTGATTTTTTGGTATGTGAATTAATCATGATGAGTTACAGATCAAGTTTAAGATTCGTTCTGCTCTGCTAATTTTTGCCGAAATTACGGGCTTTGGACTTTGATAAATTGTTGAAAATCACAGTTATACGGACTTTTTTTCTAAACGCCTTCAGATATTGGGCTGATTTTTGGTATGTGAGTCAACCATGATGAGTTACAGATCAAGTTTAAGTTTCGTTCCGCTCTGCTAATTTTTGCCGAAATTACGGGCTTTGGACTTTGATAAATTGTTGAAAATCACATCCGGACTTTTTTTCTAAACGCCTTCAGATATTGGGCTGATTTTTGGTATGTGAGTTAACCATAATGAGTAACAGATCAAGTTTAAGTTTCGTTCCGCTCTGCTAATTTTTGCCGAAATTACGGGCTTTGGACTTTGATAAATTGTTGAAAATCACAGTTATACGGATATTTTTTTTCTATACGCATTCAGATATTGGGCTGATTTTTTGGTATGTGAATTAATCATGATGAGTTACAGATCAAGTTTAAGATTCGTTCTGCTCTGCTAATTTTTGCCGAAATTACGGGCTTTGGACTTTGATAAATTGTTGAAAATCACAGTTATACGGACTTTTTTTCTAAACGCCTTCAGATATTGGGCTGATTTTTGGTATGTGAGTCAACCATGATGAGTTACAGATCAAGTTTAAGTTTCGTTCCGCTCTGCTAATTTTTGCCGAAATTACGGGCTTTGGACTTTGATAAATTGTTGAAAATCACAGTTATACGGATTTATTTTCTATACGCATTCAGATATTGGGCTGATTTTTTGGTATGTGAATTAACCATGATGAGTTACAGATCAAGTTTAAGTTTCGTTCCGCTCTGCTAATTTTTGCCGAAATTACGGAGTTTGGACTTTGATAAATTGTTGAAAATCACATCCGGACTTTTTTTCTAAACGCCTTCAGATATTGGACTGATTTTTGGTATGTGAGTTAACCATGCTGTGTTACAGATCGAGTTTAAGTTTCGTTCCGCTCTGCTAATTTTTGCCAAAATTACGGGTTTTGGACTTTGAAAATTGTTGAAAATCACAGTTATACAGACTTTTTTCTATGTGCTTTCAGATTTTGCGCAAATTTTTGATATGTGAGTCTACCATGATGAGTTACAGATCAAGTTTATGTTTCGTTCCGCTATGCTGATTTTCATGTCGTTTCAACACATCTTGTTAGATCTGCAGTACATCCACTTCCTGTTTGCTAATAGTTTGAAATTTAACTACTCATTGATCAAGGAAATTTTTCATCAAACTAGTATTGGTCTTGAGAGCTGGATACTATCCATGCATGTTTGTGTCCACATGTGTTGTTGAAATTGCAGATTTTTCAACTTTTTGAGACAGTGCCATTCGTGTCGTTCCGACACATCTAGTTTTCAATCGTCAGCAGGTGTGCAATCTTTTCACCTTGTTTCAGTTTAACTGGTTTTGAATTCAAATTCATGATAGCTGGGTAAATTTTGTTTTCCTCAATAATCATTTCACTATTTGCAGGAATTGAAACTTGCCTAGCTATTTGAATATTTGAACACTGGGAACAATTATCTTTAAATAAAGGAATATACTCTGACCTTTGATACTTAAACAATGACTGTTTCCACACATTGACTTGAGTGTGTAGGTAAATATAGTATCTTTGGTTAGCTTGCTTGCTAGCTGAACCATGAACTCATTGTTAGCTAAGGTAGTACTATTTTTGGGGCGGAGTCAATAGTTAAGCAGAGAACTAATCAAAAGTAGAGACAGTATATAATAAACAAGTCAATTCAAAAATATATATTTACAATCTAAATTTAGAATCAAGTGTCTATTATATACTAATTCACAAGCATGTTGTAGGTGTGTTTGATTTGTCAATTTTATTTCAATAAATTACCTCTGTCATTTTTCTTTGTTTCTTTTCTATGTGAATATGAATGATTTTATTTTAAATAAATTATACATATATGATGGACTGACACACAACACAGATAACGAAATTTGTATGTGGGGAATACATCAATATAATCTTTTATTACAACTGCCTATCAACAGAGTAAAAAGTTCTAAAGACCAGTGCCCCCTTCTTTTTCTATTGTAATCATTTTTGTTTATATTCGATGAAATTATATTTGAAGGGGAAGTTCATTTACCCCTAATACGCCAGATTAATCTTTGCAAATGCTCCTTTTCGTAATTCCCTAACTTTGTTGTGCATTGTGTTCTTCACTGCAAACATGCAGAAGATGGTAGAATAAAAAAAATATGAATTATATTTGATACTGTTCACTAAGATACACTGGCGTTATCGATTGCCCAGCTATTGTTCATATCTATCAAAACAAAATAATACATAGTGAGAGGATCTCGAAGATTTGTACATGCACCTTCTGAAGCAATCCCCGAGCCACCCGCCCTACACGCATATCAAAATCAAAAATAATAATATCCTTATTATATACATGATTTAAACAGATTTTTTTTTAAATTGATTAAATCAATGTTAACTACTGCTTACAGTATAAATTACACATGTAAATAATCTAGATAGGAATGACAGAGGTAATTGATTGAAATAGAATTGACAAATCAAACACACCTACAACATGCTTATGAATTAGATTATAATTGACACCAGATTTAAAATTATGATTGAAAATATATTTTTAAATTGACTTGTAAAACTGGTTTCACAATGTTTATCATAATGTCTATACTTTTGGTTGGTGCTTAACTATTGATCTCACCCAAAGGATGGTAGTACCTTAGCTAATAATGATTTCATGGTTCAGCTAGCAGGCAAGGTAACCAAAAATACTACCGTTACCTACACACTCAAGTCAATGCGCTGTAATTTAAATATCAATTTCTTTTTGTTCAAAAGAAATTCATTCCGAAGATCCCAGATGACCCTTTTATATCAACAACAATATCCTCTTCTTTTAACTAATAATTGAAGGACTTATTGCTATATTCAAAATGCATTTGGCTTTACAAAAACTTGAGTGTGTATGTTTAAACAAAATCTTTGGTTAGCTTGCTTGCTAGCTGAACCGTGAAGTCATTATTAGGTTAGGTATACTACCCTCATTTAAAAGTAGACTAGTCCGACATATAACGAATCTATCTGTCTGTAGGACTAGACTACTCCGAAGAGAGGGTAATATATCTAACCTAATAATGATTTCACGGTTCAGCTAGCAAGCAAGGTAACCAAAATTGTTGATTGAACCTACACACTCAAATCATTTGGCTGTAACACTTATAATATCTATGCTAATCAACTGAGAACTTGATTTTAATTTCTCAAAAGTATCAAAAGAAATCAGAGAAACTGGTGATCAAGTATCAACAAGAAATTTAACATCAATTTGGCAAAAAGCAAAAAGACAATTTTAATGTACTTTTATCTGAACTCTCCTAAGTGGATCTGATATCAAACCAGCAATTTTCGGTATGTGGCCTTTCTAAAATGTTAACAGCTGAAGTATTGGCCTCTAAATCAGCTTTCAATCGTTTCCCTAATTGTTCAATGGACAATAGTACTGAATATGTCCTGACTCATTATATTTATAGCAGACTGTTAGTCGTGCTATTTTGATTCCTAAAATACCTTCCTCTACCCCCATTATTACAGCAAAATGCCTTGAGTGTGTAGGTAAAGGTAATATATTTGGTTAGGCTTGCTTGCTAGCTAGTCCGACAGATAACCAATCTATCTGTCTGTAGGACTACACTATTCCGAAAGGAGGGTAGTATACCTTACCTAATAATGAGTTCACGGTTCAGCTAGCAAGCAAGCTAACCAAAGCTACACACTCAATGCATTTTGCTGTAAATATTGCCACAATAGTTTGAAGCTAGATGGATTCAATCTTACATATATGTCTTAATATGAAGGTTTGGCTGTGGGGCGGGGTCCTTCATTATTCACTCTTTTTTATATTTTGGGTTATGGTTTATATTCATATATTTTAGCACCCAACTATTTGACTGTTGGTGGGGTTTTTTCATAAAAAAATATTCTGATCCCCAATTTGATGGAAAAAAATATTGTGGTCAAGCAGATGATAAAAAAAAATATTCTGAATCCATACCTTATAGAGTTGAATTTTGAAAAAAATAATCTGATTGATAGCGTTGAAAAAATAAAAAAAAAATGTTTATGCTTTGCATGAAAATAAATTCTGACTCAGAAAAAACCATAACCCCCCCCCCCCCCCCCCCCCCCCTCTACCCCCACCTTTTGAAGTTAAATTGTTGCTCCCTTAAAATCTAAATTATATGAAAAGGGTGGGGTAACAGAACCCAAGCGACAATCCCTACCAATTAAGTATTGAAGTGCCCCCACCTCCGAGATAAACAAGGATGGCTAAGATAATTTTAAGATATCGACAACTATTTCCACTCGATGGTTCATAGTTTAAATAGCAGCAAAAATTGAAACTTTATAATACAACTGCAAGTGATTGACATTTTGTTAAATTTATATGATTTGATAGTAATCATTTTTCTTGTCGCTATATTTTTTCTTCTTGTCTCTTTTTGACTCTACTTGTCTCAAAATAGTGAGACCCGCCTATATTGACAAGTTTTTTTGTGCACTAGTTTTGATGGCGTATCTGAAAGCGGGAAATTCGTGCTGTGGACCAGAATTTCTGACCAAAAATACCTGTGAACGTTAACAGCATGTACGTTATCTGTTGTTATGTCAATAATTTGTTGTCGTGCAGTTTATATCCACATTTCGATTTGAACTAATGTTTTTGTTGTTTCATTTTAACTACTTTACATTCTGTGGAGGATGATCATCGTGGACAATGGTGGAAGTTAGCACAAGTCGCCCCACTGCACACTCGCCACATGATCAACATAATCACCCCCGATTTCACCATTTTCAGGTTTTTAGGTCACCTGGCAAGCGTTCTGATCACTTGGTGTCCACTGGCACTGTCATGACTGTCGTCCGTTAACTTTTACCAAAATCCTCTGAAGCTACTGGCCACTCATCATTGGAATATCTAGTTTCAAGTTTAAAAATGTGTCAGATAACCCCACCTGCCAACCAAGATGGCCGACTTGGTTAAAAATAGAACATAGGAGTAAAATGCAAGTTTTTTTCTATTATAAAAACTGCTGTAAATAGAGAAAATTTTGACATGGTCAGAAATGTTTAGAATGTTGTGCTCTACCTTTTGTCCATGTGCGTCAAAACTGTCTGGCGACTTGTAGGAGACTCCGCGTTATTGCCTATAAATATTACATTTTTTTTTACAATTTTGCCAATTATCTTGAAATCTAAAAAAGATAATGAGAAACTTTTATAGCGAAAATGATCAGCAAGACAAGATCTACAAATAAGTCAATACGAGTCTTTAGAGTCTTTAGAAGTGTCAACTTGACACTTTAATCTCTCTGTACTTTCGATCACTCTGGTAATTTTATGTCACTTTTGTATAAAACTCATTAGTACATTTGTATTTATGATGTGGCACTGCAGAGAAAAATAAATAAATAAATAAATAATTAAATAATAAAAAAAAAAAAAAAGTGAATAAATAATTAACCCTTATAAAACCTTAACTATCTATTTTGTGAACCTTCCAGTATCTTTAATAAAGACCCCTAACAAATGTTGAATATCTTCTATGTGATGTTTGTAATTTTCATTTTCTGTTGTTGCTAATAATACTTCTGATTCAAGTGTTAGTTTTGATGTTATGAAGTAGAGTGCAGAGCGGAGTTTCTCTCTAGCCTCCTCATAATTTTCACAATACAATAGATAATGGTCAACTGTTTCTATTTGTCCACAGCTGCATTTGTCAGTGAGTGCTGGGCATATCATTGATTTGTAAGAGTTTAAATTACAATATCCTGTTCTTAAACTAGTGGTTATCCGATATATTTCAGTTGACGGTTTGTCTTTTGGAATTGTATTTTTTACATTTTGTTGAAAGGAATAATATCTTCTTCCTTTATCAATGGTGTCCCATCGGTTTTGCCATTTTAACATTACACTGTCTTTTGCTCCTTTTTGTATATCTTGTTTTGTAAAAATTGGAATGCTTTGTATTTTTTCTGCCTCCTGTGCTGCTTTTTTAGCTAGTTGGTCTGCTAGTTCATTACCTTGTATATCAGCGTGTCCAGGTCCATTCAATGGAAACAATGATTCCTTCAGAATTTAGTGCCAATATACCGATTTTAATATCATGAATAGTTTTGCTGTAATTATCTGATTTCCAATTTAAAGTTAAAATTCCAATTGCTGATTGGCTGTCTGAGAAAATTTTGATGGATTCAGTGTTTTTTCTGTTGTTTGGAATTATTAGAAAATCTATTACCAGCTTGATAGCTACTAATTTCCCTAATAAAATAGATCCTCTATTGGAAACTGGCTGTGTTAACTCCACATGTTCTGTGCTGTTTGATATTAAAATAGCTGCCCCAGCCCCGCATGGACCTGGGTTTCCTTTGCAGGAGCCATCAGTGAAAGCTAATGTTGTATTCTTTTTTAGTTGATGTCTTTCCCTGAAATGCTTGTTCCTCTGATCTAGACTTTGAACTTCCGAGATTTTTCCAATACTCTGGTGGTGATTTTGAGGCTGCTAACCCTCGGAATTCAAATTGAGACTCTATACAATCAGAATCAATCTCTGTTGACCTCTTCATGTCTTCAGACTGTAATACCATTCTTCCAATTGGTGAGATTATTTTTTCAGGTTCATTTATATTTTTCCAATTTTCAAAAATTTGTTTAATAGGGATAGTGATTTTATATGATTTTATTTTTGCAATTTGTCTTATACCGGCTTCTTCTCTTTTAAGGTCCAGTGGAAGTATTCCTGCTACTACTTCTAAGGCTTCTATACTATCTGTAGTTGGTTGGTTGAGACATAAGGCTAATCCTTTTCTTTGAATAGCATTTAATTTATTTATATGCGTGTTGTTGTTGATTTGCCATACACTGCTAGCATATAACATTGTAGACAGCACTATACTTTGATATATTTGTATTAAAATTTTTGTAGATACCTTTGCTATTCCCTTGATGTTTCTGATTATCCCTAAGGACTTTTGTGCTTTTTGCTCAACAGTGTCTATGTGTTTATTGAAATCACATTTTTCATCTAAAGTAAGGCCTAAAATTTTGGGGTTTGGATTGTATTTTAATTCCTTTCCTTGTAACATTATCTTGATGTCCTCCTTTGTCATACCATTTCTGGAAAATACACAAAATTCTGTTTTTCTATACTGAGGTTTATTCTCCATTTTGTTGACCATTCATGGATGGAGTTAATATCTTTTTGTAACTCCTTCACTTTGTCCCATCATCAGCAAATTTACATTTGTTAGAGGAAATTTTAGCAAAAATATCAATAATAAAGATGTTGAAAAGTAAGGGGGATATAACTGAGCCTTGTGGAAGCCCAATTTGAGTTTTAAACCATTGTCCCTGATGCTTGTTTATATTACATCTTACTTCTCTGTCTTTTAAAAAATTCTCTATCCATTTCCAGATTTTACCTTTAATTCCATATCCATGTAGTTTTGTTAAAAGTCCTTCTCTCCAAACACTATCATAGGCTTTTTCTAGGTCAATCATTAATGCGATAGTACTTTCATCTTTATTAAATCCATTAAAGATGTTTTGAACAAATGATAATAAAGCATTGTCGGTGGAGCGGAAATGTCGAAAACCTTCTTGTTCTTTATCTAATATAAATTTTGACTCTACATAACCTTCTAACCTTGATGTTACTATTCTCTCCATTAGTTTACCTAGTATGCTTGTTAAGCTAATTGGACGATATGATGATGGATTATTATAGTTTGGTTTACCAATTTTTTTGATGAACTTGACATTTGCTTGTTTCCATGATTTTGGTAAGGAACCTTCATCCCATGATTTGTTCATTATATATAATAAAGTGCTATACAGATTATCATCTCCATTAATAATTAGTAATGAAAAGTAATTATCAGGTCCTGGACAAGTTTCATTTTTTAGTCTGTACACTGCACCAGCCAGCTCATCTTGTTCTATGGCAAAGTTGATATTAATATCATTGACATCCTCTAAATGTTGTTCTTCATCCTCTGAGATTGAATGATATTTGTCCATTATTTCTGTATAAAATTCTGCATTAAAGGAAATGGGATTTAAGTGTTTTCCTTTGAAGAAAGTTGTTTCTAGTTCTTGACATTTTTCTTCTTCTTTAAATGTTACGTTTCCATTTCCATCAACAAATGGAAGTACCATGTTATTATTTTTCTTCTTTGTCATTTTTCTAAATACACTCCATTTGTCCTTTTTGACATTAGATGCGTTTGAAAGCTTTTCTGCTAGGTTGTTTCCCCATTCCTCTTGAGCCAAATCCTTCACTTTGTTGAAATTAATTTCTGCTTGTTTGAGATTTTCAAAATTATTCGGAGTACTTTTAACTTTGAATTTACGTTGTGCTTGATTAAGGCTTTTTTTGCTATCTTTTACGGCGTCATCCCACCAAACCGGGTGCCTATGAGCAAAGAACTTTTTTTTCTCAATTTTTGGAATTGTCTCTTCCATGCATTCCATAATTTCCTTTTCAAATCTGTTATACAAATCTTGTACCTTTTCCTCTCTATTAAATATAAAATTTTGGAATCTCTCTTTTGTTGATTCTTTCCATTTTTTCCAATCTGCTTTTTTCAAGTTCCAGGTTAAATTGTCAGATGACTCCTTATTAGAGTTATTGCCCTTGAATGTAGATTTTTACCAAATTTTTATTTTTGCGTTTTTTCCTAATATCTTGGAAAAACGCAAAAATTCTCTAAATCTAGAGTGCCAAATTTATCCCAAACTTGGCCACAATCATTTAATATTGGGGTATCAAGTTTTATTAAAAATTTGTACAAAGACCCCGCCTGCAAACCAATATAGCTAAAATTAGAAAATACGGGTAAAATGCAAGTTTTGTCTATTATCTTGAAAACAACAATGAAAATTAAAGGAAAACCTGACCGGGGCAGAAATATTCAAAATGTTGAGATCTACCTGCTGTCCAATACATCAAAATTGTCAGATATTTTCTCATTGCCCTCAAATGTCAAATTTACACGTTTTATTCATATTTGCTTATTATTTTGAAAACTTTAAATAATAGAAAGATAGAAATTTTAAGTAGGAAAATTATCAGTAAGACAAGTCCTATGAAAATATCAAATGGCTGAAATCGTCAAAGGACTCATTATTGGAGTTATTGCTCTTTAATGATGATTTTTTACAATTTCGTTTGCATTTTTGCCTATGATCTTGAAAATTATAATAGATATATAGAAACTTTGAATAGCAAAAATGATCAGCAGGATTTTTACCAAAAAGTGGCCATTGTTGAAGATGCAGGTGAGTGACACAGGCTCTTTAGAACCTCAAGTTTTATTGCTGTTGATTTTAAATATTATGACATCTACTAATAATCAGTAGTATAAATCACAGGCACTTGGGTACATCTGGGACTATTATACTAATTAGTATAATAGTCCCAGGGTACACATGGTACATAATTTGAGAATTTTTTCTTGCATTGTTTGCACTGTATATTTTTTGGACTTAACACTACTATGCTTTGTTATACCTTGTTTTGTGTGAATTTATCGACTTTGATACAAATTACAGTCCCTTATTTTACTATTTATACTTAAAAAACAACTATTCAATGACTTATAAGGGAACGACCATTTAACTTCGAGGGGGGGGGTTATGGTTTTTTCCTAAAAAAAATATTCTGATCCCCAATTTGGTGAAAAAAATATAATATTGTGGTCAAGCAGATGACAAAAAAAAATATTCTGAATCCAGATTTTCCCCATACCTTATACTGTTAAAATTTGAAAAAAAAAATTTGATTGATAGCGTCAAAAAACAAAAAAAAAATGTTTGTGCAGTGCGCGGAAAAAATTTCTGACTCAAGACATCCCCTCTCCCCCCTTGAAGTGGTTGTTTCCTAAACAGAACCTTCCACATTTCGAGAGATATGCCAACAGCTGCATTAAGATGCTGTGCAACTTGTAGAATGGGTCAGAAGTTAGCTGATTCTTCTATTTTGAGAACCTTCCATCCTGCAAAAGTTTCATGCTTTAGGCAGAGACTTGTGTAGTATAAATGTCTTGATAGAGCCCAGTTACCCTCACCTGTTTGATTATATCATGTGTAACCCTCTTTAAATAAAGAATATTTATTATACCCCCGCTTTAAAAAAGTGGGGTCCGTCCCATGAAAATTTTTCGTCGCATCTTTCTCAGGAACTACATCATAAGGATTTCTGAAATTTGGTTTCAGGGTTTATATAAGTCAGCTATACCGTGTGATGCGTTTTCAGATTCGTTACTCAACAACTTCTTGTTTACCGAACACTTACATCATTTTACACATGACATCCAAGTATTTGAAAATTTTCGTCACATTTATCTCAGGAACTACATTACAAGGATTTCTGAAATTTTGTTTCAGGGTTTATATGAGTCAGCTATACTGTGTGATGCGTTTTCAGATTCATCACTCAACAACTTCCTGCTTACATCATTTGCATATTTGGGCGGGGGTATCATCAGTGAGCAGTAGCTCGCAGTTTCACTTGTTATCTTATATTATAATTAAGATAGGGAAATGCCTGTAAATTGAATGGTCGTGGGGACATGACATCATTGCTTAATGATGTCCTCGATTTTTGAAAACTTAGTGTTTTAAGACTTGCTTTTGAAATTTATATATACAATTCCTTTCAAAAGAATAAAAATTTGAGAAAACAGCATATATATTTCTGATGATAGCTGGTTATCTACCAATAGGTATTTCAAAAACAGAACTACAACATGATTGGGCATTGATTACCTTTAAAATGTTCAGCATGACCAATACCTTGGTTTAAAACTGTCAGAAAATGAATTTGGAACTTGGATATATATAACCAAGATAACATCAAAAGCTAAAAGAACACCAGGATTGCCACATTAACCAGTGTTAACCAAAGAGATGTCCCCATTGTAATTTTAGCATATCCATGAATATATATACCAACATCTTACAGAATCATGATTGGCAAACCCTAGCAGATATATATTTAGAAAAGAATCAGCTCTTGCTCCTGTTTAAGATTTTGCATAGAAAAGTACCAGTCACTATTCTGGATTATATCAGACACCATAACAACCAAGTAACATCACCGAGACAAGTTCTCAAGAGTCCGCACATTAATGGATGCTTATAAATACACCTTCAACTGACCATGACCTCATTTTCACAAATCATTGATTATGTTAAGTATGTGTGGTACTTGTAGTAAAACATTCATATTACGGACTATCAACAAAAATTCAATCATAAGTATTTTTTTAACTAAGGAGGTGAGAAATTTCAGTGTGTGCAATCTTGTCTTCTGGAAAACCTTCGTGTTTAGTATACATGGTTTAAACTTAGTTTAAAGTCTATTAGTATATATATTATGTAGTTTTCTTCCTTCCAACTATGCAGTCTTATTTGTACTTCTTTTAACAATATTATTATTTATAAATATATTTCAGATGTAAAAGGTATGATTACAGAATAAGGAAATATGAAGATTTTTTAAGACAGTCCACCTTTCAAAGAGGTAAAATATTGTTTTTAGACTAACAAATATAATCCCTTTAAGGTTTGTATATATATATATATATATAAATATATAAACAAGTCTAAATTGAAAACAACGTTCAAACCTATGATTGCATTGGATAAAAACGTGTGTATGCAAAACAAATTTCTTGTTAGAGGGGTCTACATGGTCTAAATACAGCACAAACAACATTTTTCAAAAGACCAAAAAAAGTGAAAAAAGTACATTTTAACAAAACGCATTTGACTAACAGGTCGAACAACAAATGTTCTTAAACCCTGCTGACTGCCATTGGCGATTGCCAAATAAAAGGATATATATATATATATATATATATATATAGCAGTCAGCAGGGTTTAAGAACATCAGTTGTTCGACCTGTTAGTCAAATGCGTTTTGTTAAAATATACTTTTCACTTTTTTGGTCTTTTGGAAAATATTGTTTGTGCTGTATTTAGACCCCTCTACCAAGAAATTTGTTTTACATGCACACGTATAAAAATTGCGGTTTTTATCCAACGCAATCATAGGTTTGAACGTTGTTTTCAATTTAGACTCGTATATATCATGTATATATATATATATATATACAAGTCTAAATTGAATAAAAACCGCAATTTTTATACGTGTGCATGCAAAACAAATTTCTTGTTAGAGGGGTCTAAATACAGCACAAACAACATATATATGGGGCTAAGGCGTAAGCAGAGGTGGATTTCTTTTTTTGAGGGGTGGGTCCTTATGGAGCTACATATATAATAAATGCATAGAGTCTACTTTTTACAAGTATCACTCCAAATGTTGGCTTGTCAGGGCCCCCTCTATCAAAATCTTGGATCAGCATACATAGTTCAGGAACTTAGTGGCCATAAAATAGTAACTGGGCACTATGACTTCAAGTATATAAACGACTTTCGAAATTCATGCACATTCCCAGAATTTCCTATATCACAACGCTTATGTCATTACGCCACAGAAGGACTGATTGTTTGATGAAGTGGTTTACGCTGATTGACCTCAGGTCAACCGGTGTAACTCATTCATAAAAAAACAACTTGAGATTGGTGCATACTCAGATGATATAACAGAGGAAAAGAATTTTACACAAGATACAGAAAACCATTATAATTTACAGTCCAAAATTGAAACGTGATAATTTTTAGTTCTATCAATGTGGCTCATAAATGGTCAAATCTGATCTGTGATCTTTGGGGTATGGCAGACGACCTTCAAACTGATGTCTCATTTATATTTACCTGCGACCTTTAGAAATGTTCAATACCAACTTGCAAAATCACTATAATACATCACCAGATGTCAATAAAAATAAACTTGGTGTTTCAGGCGGTGGAAGATTTTATGATGCATTGTAACCCATGCAGTAGACGGGATGTGGAATCCAAATCCACAAGTTGGTGCAGTGATTGTGAAGAGGGTCTGTGTAATAAATGTTTAGAGGATCACCAAGCAATTAAACTTACTGGAAGCCATCATGTTATAGACATGACGGAACAAATATCCTCTGAATATTATGAAATGTTGTCCATATCTAATTGCAAATTGCATCAGGACCTACAGCAAGATGTTGTCTGCAAAGATCATGATGTGATCTGTTGTCGTCAATGCTTCCAAACAAGTCATAAGTCTTGTAAAAATGTCTGTCATCTAAACAGGGCAGCAAAGGGAATCAAGCAATCTGATTGGCTGAAAAAATTGGGCCATGATTTGAAGGAAATGGCAAAAGTTAGTCACAAAATTATTGAAGAAAGAAAAGTGTCAAAAGAAGTGTTGAAAAATAAAGTACAGAAAATAAAGAAGGAAATATCCAATATCAAATCTAAGTTTATTCAGCATATAGATGATTTAGAAAAAACATTGTTGAGTGAACTTGCAGATGTGCATAAAGATGGAGAAGAAGAGTCAGAAAAGGAGAAAATAGAACTGATGAATATGGAGAAGGAAGTCAGATCTGATCAGACTGCCTTAGAATTTGTAACTGCCAATGGTTCTGAATGTCAGATATACTCATTTGTTCAAGACCAGGCAAAGAAACAGAGAGAAAGAGAAATGATGCTGCAGAAAATACCTCTTAATTCAAAAGTTAATATTGAATTGCATGAAGCCAGTCATGAAATAGAGGCTATCAAATCATTAGGATACTTGTCAGTCAACTGTGAAAAAGTTACACATCCATTAAGTGAAGAAGGTTTGATTAATCATGATGAGAGCTTATCTAGAACTGAAAGCAAAGATTTTCCAAATCTCACATTAGAAAAAGAAAAACGGATTGATCCTAAAGATTTCCTTACAGAAAATGAAAGAGTAGATGATATGTCTTTAGATGTACAATGTGCCACAGTTACAGATGATAATTATATACTGATAGCGGGTGTACTCAGATTGGTTGTCAGTGGAAAGTACAAAACAGTCTTACAGCTTATTAAATATGATGAAGACATGAAATATTTGCAGCAGTACCGTTTCTTTTCACTTGATAGAATTATGTATGATGATGCTAAGATATATGGTATATCATCTATTCAGAATTCAGATAGAGTAGTAATTGTCTATCAGAAAATCTTGAATAGGGAAATGTTATTTGCAAGCAAAGCAGCAATGAAAAAAATGGGGTCTATAAATCTTATCAATTATGGTTATACTTCTTACTGTGATACCGGTAAAGTAATATTAGGTTCTCATAGCAAAAGAATTTTTCTATATACTCAAGAAAATGCAGAGAACATTTGCTTATCTGTGTTTGATGTTCTCGGTTGCTGTGTTCAGGAATTGGATTTCCGCTTGCAATTTGATTCCTTCATTGCACAACCTAACAACACATTTTGGGGATTGTTCAATAACACACTATATGTTTCAAAAGAAGATGGCACCGAAAGCATGTCATATAGCCCATATGGTTTGAGTGCTGTTACAATTGATCAGCATGGTAACCTGTTCTTGGTGATGGAAGATGGTATCCAAGTTATGCATCCAAAGAAGAAGTGTATTCATATGGCATTTTCAGAACCACTTGTTTATAAGTATGATAAGTGTGAGATTATTGGGTTTCATAGCTTCAATAAAAGTCAAACGAAACTGTCGCTAGTGACAAAGATTAGCCCAAAGGATCATAAATTCAGGAATTTGGGAAAAGGTAATGAACTTGTGCCAAACAATGCTTTTTTTGTGAAATTGATCTCTGAGGGTGACAAATGAATCAACAAGTACTGCAGTGTTACTGTTTTGGAACTCTTTATTGTAAATTGTTTAAATGATAGACTTATTGATAAGTGTACTACTCTTAACATCAAAATGTACTTTAGTTTAAATTGATGGGATTTAAACTTCAAAAAGTAGATTTTTTTTATGTATACACTAACTGACGCTGCTGTTTTTTTTTATTACATAAGGATTCAAACTGTTCAGTATTAATTTAGTTCTAAACAAGTGATCTATAACCATTTACACATGAATATATCTAATGTCATTTTTTTACCCATGACCAAATATCCTTAGTAAAAAAAAATCAAAGTACTGAAGTACTGAACATCGGATGACCGCAGGTTCTTGTGGATGGTCAAAAGCACATGTCACAGAAATAGATCACATCTCTATACCTGAAACTGAGGTTAATTTACAGAGATATATTTTTTTCTGATACAAGTTCGTGCATGGATGATGAATAAATGACAGGAAATTCAACCGCACCGTAATAACTATTATATTGTAGTGATACAAATCAGTATACCTGGGACTATTATACTAATATGATAATAGTGTCAGAGTATACACGTCTGGTTTGTTGTTATATATTATATTAATATACGGTTGCATGTATATATAATTTTCATCTATTTATATATCAATGTATATCATTCTATTCTACTATTCTAATTATAGTGCAGTGCAAGTGCATGGTGGACACTCTTCTGTAAAAAAATCGATTTTTCTAAAAGCTTGGATATGAGAAGCCATTCATATTTTCCCGCAAAACAAATAACAGAGTTATCGGTCCTTGCCGGGAGTGTCGCAAAACGTTCTTGAGATATTCTTCCGTAAGCTTTAACACAATTTTTCGGTACGTGTGCATTTATATCATCAATGATTTTTTACTTTTATATATACAACTAACGACAACACATTTTCATATTATTAATTTGTGTTTTAATAAAAATATTTATAGGAGTATCCATTAAAAAAATGAATTTGAAACAAGCGATAAGTAATGTTATTTTGCACTAGATAAGTGACCGCGGATCTATAATTTTTATAGATCGGTTGAAAACCCAAAACTAATTTGCATAATGGATATTTAGGCGATAGCAATACATCGAAATGACCTCACGGTCATCGCGATGTAAAAATCTAAAATGTCATGCCTGTCATATTTGTCATGTATGTTGAACCAAACCTGTTATGTTAAAAATTGTGCCCAGCAACCACCCATCATATTTAGCCCAATTTTATTAAAACTGGATAAAATTTTAACTGATGAAATAAGTTTGAAATAGTTTTGAAAAATATCCCAATAGAACATGACAAAGTCCTTATATGAGCATTTGGGAACTCTTACAACATTGATAACCTTCCTTATAGCATTAAATTTGAGTGAATAAGACCCCCAAATTGAAAGTTAAATGTTGTGTTTGATGTCTGTCTGGACTATTTTAATATTCCAATTCCCAGTAGTGAGTACACCAGTTTCAATATACTGTACACTACCAGTAATTTTCTGGTATAGAGGGATACACAGTGTCCATGGTTGTCTAAATGTATGTTATTCTTACTGTATTTTGAGATTGTCAGGCAAATAATTCAGGGTTGGCAAAGTATTTCCCGGGCTGGGCAATACTCCCAGAAATGGGTAATACTGAGCAATACTGGGTAATATGATTTTTCAAGCTTATTTTTACACAAAATTGTAAAGACTTGTTGTAGTTTAATAGTATTATAGCTAAATATATACATTTTATACAGATAATCATTGACATGATTGAGAG